CAACAGATGACTAGATAAAGAAGATGTGGTATATTTATACAATGGAATACTACTCAGCCATAAAAACTGACAACATAACGCCATTTGCAGCAACATGGATGCTCTTGGAGAATGTCATTCTAAGTGAAGTAAGCCAGAAAAAGAAGGAAAAATACCATATGAGATTGCTCATATGTGGAATCTAAATAAATAAAAAAAAAGCATAAATACAAAACAGAAATAGACTCAAAGACATAGAATACAAACTTGTGGTTGCCAAGGGGGCGGGGGGTGGGAAGGGATAGACTGGGATTTCAAAATGTAGAACAGATAAACAAGATTATACTGTATAGCACAGGGAAATAGATACAAGATCTTATAGTAGCTCACAGAGAAAGAAATGTGACAACGAATATATATATATATTCATGTATAACTGAAAAATTGTGCTCTACACTGGAATTTGACACAACATTGTAAAATGATTATAAATCAATAAAAAATGTTAAAAAAAGACATTCATACAGTAAAAGACTAAGTATTCTTTATTTATATAATTGATATTATAAGATGCTAGAAGAAGAGGTGATATTTATAACTAAAATATTAAGAGTACTATAGAAATATTATACTTTGTTCCATTTAATTCTTGTAAGAATTTAATAATATATAAACCCAATCTTACCCTAAATCTGGCAAACTTTCTTGAGAGGTATAGAAAGATGGTTGTCCTCCTTGGCTGATGGATGGATAAACGGAGGGGAGATTATTACAGAGAATGACTTAATGTACTGCAGTGGTCTCCAACCTTTTATGTTTATTGGCACCACTTAGTTAAAAAAAGTTTTCAGTATAATCCCCTAAGACACCTGTGCTTATAAGTTTTATATATATATATATATATATATGCACACACACACACACACTACTCTCTGCTTATTAAATTGAATATTAGTTAAGTTTAATTTCCACTTTTTACACAAAAGTTATGTAGCAATATTTTTTTCCTGTAATACACTGAATCATCTTGTACAGTATAATGAAGAAAACTGCTTTAGAGAATAAAAAAAGATAAAGAAAAAAGGCAAAGGTTTTTGCTCCTTATGATACATCCTAACTCTGCTACTTCTTGAAACTTGGAGACACTGAATCATTGTCTCATTCTTAAGCCAAGGCAGTCACGAGATGAAGAACAAAGCTGGAGGTATCATGCTCCCAGACTTGAAACTATACGTCAAAGCTACAGTAATCAAAACAGCACAGAACTGGCACAAAAACAGACACATAGATCAAAGGAACAGAAGAGAGAGCCTAGAAATAAACCCATGCTCATCTGGTCAATTAATCTGTAACAAAGGAGGCAAGAATATACAATGGGGAAAAGACAGTCTCTTCAATAAATGGTGTTAGTAAAGCTGGACAGTTACATGCAAAACAATGAAACTGCACCACTTTCTCAGACTACATACAAAAATGAACTCAAAATGGATTAAAAACTTAAATGTAAGACCTGAAACCATAAAACTCCTAGAAGAAAAAATAGGCAGTAATCTCAGCAATTTGGCAGGGGGTCGGGCTGGATATACTTCCTTAGGCAAGGGCAACAATGGCAAAAATAAACAAATGAGACTACATTAAACTAAAAAGCTTTTATGCATAGTGAAGGAAACTTTCAACAAAACAAAAAGGTAACCTACTGAACGGGAGAAGATACTAGGAAGTGACATATCTGATAATGGGTAGATTTCCAAACTATATAAACAACTCATATAACTCAGTATTAAAAAATAAACAACCTTATAGAAAAATGGGCAGAGGACCTAAATAGACATTTTTCCAAAAAAGCCATACAGATGGCCAACAGGTACATGGAAGGTGCCCAGCATCACTAATCATTAGGGAAACGCAAATCAAAACCACAATAAGATACGACCTCACACCTGCCAGAATGGCTATTATCAAAAAGACAAGAAGCAACAAATGTTGGTAAGAATGTGGAGAAAAGGAAACCACTGTGTACTATTGGTGGAAATGTAAATTGGTGTAGCCACTACGGCATACAGTATGGAGATTCCTTAAAAAACTACAAATAGAACTACCATATGATCCAGCAAATCTACTTCTTGGTATTTATGCAAAGAAAAGAAAAACACTAATTCAAAAGATAAATGTACCCCTATAGTTAATGCAGCACTGTTTACAATAGCTAAGATATTGGAAGCAACCTAAATGTTGATCAGTAAATGAATGAATCAAGAAGAGGTGAAACACTGAAACACATACACACACACATACACGAAGATCACTCAGCATAAAAAAGAATGAAATCTGGTTATCTGCAGCAACATGGACAGACTGGAGGGTATTATGCTAAGTGAAGTAAGTCAGACAGAAAAATGAGTTAACATACGATTTCACTTATATATGGAATCTACAAAATGAAACAAATGAACAATTAAAACAAAACAGAAACAGACTCATAGATACAGAGAACAAACCAGTGGTTGCCAAAGAGGAGGGAGGTGGTTGGGGAGAGGGAGAGACAGACAAAATTGGGAAAGGGAATTAAGAGGCACAAACTTCCAGTCATAAAATAAATACATCATGGGGATATAATGTACACAGAGGGAGTACAGTCAGTAATACTGAAATAAACTTGCATGGAGACAGATAAAAACTAGACTTATTGTGGTGATCACAATGTCTAAAAACATCGAATCACTATGTTGTATACTTGAAACTAATGTAATACTGCATATTAATTATAACTCGATTTAAAAAGAAAAATGCTTAGACTCTTGAAGTCACCATCTGTGGTGACTGAAGTGTAATCTATAGTTTCTGGAAAGAAAGAAAAAGAAAGAAAGGAAGAAAACAGAAAGAAAAATAAAATATCTCAAATTTGAGTATGCCAATCACAAAAGGGAAAATGGTGTTATTTCTGGGAATGCTCTTCAGTGGTTATCCAAAGTTTTTTTTTTTTTTAGCAGCAGTGGAATTATTTTCTTTCTCTAATGAATTCTTTTGCAAATAAATCAAATAAATTGGGGGAAAAAAGGAGTACTGTCCCAATCTATTAATGTTCCTTTCTTGGTATCACTAATAAAAATTTCTCCCTACTTGATCTATTTTAAAGGAAAATTTTTAAACGTTTGCCCTCAGGTACAAAGATGGGTCAAGAATTGTTACATGACACATTAGGGAAGAATCCAAGAGGGCCCAAAGAGGGCCAGGTGGTTCTCAAAAGTGGTTCTCTGCCCTGCTGGTGCACAGGAGGCTGGAGAGTGGTGAGAGCCTGTCTAGAAGGCTGACAGACCCCCTCAAGGGCTATGGTGTGTTCCCAAAAGGGTCTTTTTCCCTCCAGAAATCAGTCAGGAAATTTAATTCCTCCTCTTGCCAAGTAAGAGGCTGGTTAGTTATCTCTTCCAACAGGAGTAAAATGACACCTATCAATCTCATAGGTGAAGAAACTACAAAAATCTCATAGATACATCATCTCCCAGTTGTAGCACTGCCAGACTACTTCTTTCATTTGTAATAGGGATAATAAAAGTATTACTGCTTCCCTTTGTAAACTATTGTTTCTAAGCTGACAAATACTCCCAACAACCTCGTAATTTGTTAAAACACACTTTAGGTCAAACTAGAAAACAGAATGACATGCTAAAGCAAGACTCAAATATGTGTATGCCAAGAGAGGATGAAGTGCAATGCCTGGATATTTACAAAGTGATGTGAAGAGATGGGAGTGTTGGGGAATTGCGACTGGACCCAAGGGATGTGTGGTCTGGTGGTTTCGTTTAATTTTTTTAAACTTACATCGCTGAGCCTTTCCCGAGAGCTGCTCCTGTGGAAGCCCTTGGATTCTCCACTTGCGCTTTCACTGTCACTGTCCCTGCAGCTGTTCTGCCCTGGCTTGAGCTGAAGGCAGAAGAAAAGAGAAAAAAAGAAAGGTGTCAGTGGTCTCCTCATACAACTGCTCCTTCACCCCTATTCTTTGAGTTTTGTCAAAAGTGAACAATTTAAGGTCCTGATCTTTAGCATTTTTCCTCAGCCTCTGAACAGTGAAAGGGAAGCTGCCACAGAAAGAAACATGGAAGGCAGGATAAGCAAAATATTTATATAAAATGTCAATGCAGACAAAAGACCTGAGCAAGCCTTAAGTAAACATCTGAGAAGTCTAACAAATGTTCATGAATCTTGGAAGATAATCTTCTCTCAGATTTTTCCTCTACTGTGACTTTTTTGGGGGGGGGGGTCAATAATAATAGAAAGACCAAAAATACTGACTAAGCTAAAGCCAGGTTACACAAATTATGATTTCTCACCTTATTTCTTTTGTCCCCTTCTAGGAAAAAAACAAAAACAAAAACCAACAAAACAGAACAAAAAACAAGATTTTCTCCTCCTAAGAGAAAATGATGAGATTCTATATATTATCCTTTAACCATTAGGGAGACAATGATCCTGTTTTTTAGACAATATTCTGGAGGTCTCCTGTCAGATATTTAAAAATACCAAATTAAGACCTACAGCATAAGTAAATTAGGCCAGCATCCATTCAACAAATTTGTAAGAGCTGACAGTTAAAAGCCAGAGATATGGGGCTTAACCAAATTAAAAAGTCTCTGGTCTCATGAAGCTTACATTTTAGCAGTTTCTACACATTTACCCAGGTCTGATGTTCATGTTCAGGATGCTCTACACATTTACCCAGATCTGATTTTTCATTCAAATTGAACAAACACAGAACTGCAAACCATTAGTCTCCATAAGACTATGAGTCAAATTCATATGGAACCACAGTTGCAGAGAACCCAAGCAATTTGATGCAGATTACAAGACACAGCTCCTTTATAATGTCCTCAATTTAGCAAGAGAAAAGTACAATATAAACAAATATAACAAAACAATGGAAATACATACATGCTAAACGCAAACAAAAAAGTAGCCAGTGACGTTAGGAGAAAAGATGGTTTCTGAAGCCTTCGATTTTAAAAGCAGATTGAGCTCACATGGCTGAAAGGAGAGGGAAAGATACTCTTGATGGGAGAAAGACAGAAAAGGTAGGGAAAGCAACATGTTAGGAACATGATCAGGGGTCTTATCTGAAGGAGAGAGTTCCTTTGGGGAGGAAATAGAAAGAAACAGTAGAGAGATGTGTATGATCAGAGCATGCAAGAAACACAAGCCCCATATTTCTGGGAAGGAGGGAACTTCAGAGCAGACAGGTAGTAAAACTTTTGCCTGCAGGTTCTCATGTGGCTCTGGGGCCCTGTGGGAAGATGAACCAAGACGAAAGGAGAATGAATCCGAATCAGCCTTCCTTGTACCTTTAACCTGCCTCTTAAAACACTGCAGTTCAGACTTGACTTTTGGTTATATCATCCAGTCAGCTGTCCCCAAATACCCACTATATAGGGAGCATTCTTTTGTATTTCAACTTTTCTAAAAATCCACTTTTATCATCTTCTTTTAAAATCTCCTTCTTCAGGAAGTTTTCTCCAATGGAACCAAGAAAAATGATGCTAATTTTACTTTGTATCCTCCTGAGCCCTTAAGTACTTAGTTTCCTCCTAAGTTACTGCTAAATCTACTAATTCTAAATTAATTCGGATGCAAGCTATATGAGCCTTTTCTTATTACTATGGAATAAAAGTTCAGAATATTGTCATTCTCTTCAAGTTTTCATTTTTATACTTGTAATAAAGGGGAATTTATTCTAAAATGAGTACTACTTCCTCTCACTTTCCTGAACATGCCATGTCCATTCCTGCCTGCACTTTTCCACATTGCATTTCCTCAATCTGCAATGCTCGCCATCACTTTCTCTGTGCTTTTCATGTCAAGAGATTTTTTTTAAAGTTCAAATAGCATCTTGTCCACTGTGGTCTTTGAAGAGCTCTTCCTTTGTGTATTTATTTTTTTGACATATGTCTTCAAAGTTTAGCTAGCACCTCATTCTTTATTAAATGCCTTTGATAATTTTGATACATTTTCAAGTTTTACAAGGCCTATATTAAATGTATTTATACTAATGATAAAATCTGTATGTGGAGTGGGCTCTTTAATTCATACGCAATGTCAGAACTCTTATTTCACTGGATCTCTGAGTTAAGTAAAGGCAGGTAAAGCTAACTCCAATGTATGGATAAAGAAACAAGTAAAGGAAGTGGGTTGAGAATTTCCAAGAGATCTAGGGCTAACCCCATGACTCCACTGCCTACTGCTCTCCTCATTTTAATTCTTAGTGCCTGTTTAGGTGTTTACATTTAACTTGGAAATAATGACTCTGCAGTATACTAGTGTTCTCCATAGAATATATTTTCAGTACATTTGTGATACCTAACTGCCTTCACAAAGAAAGAAATCTTATTAGGTAATATTTAATCAAGAGATGTTTATAAAAACTAAGTCCTCCAACTTAGATGAGAAAAAAAATATCCAGCTGGGAATTAAGGGTATAAAAGTGTCAAAACCTTTCCTAATGTTCAACTGGCTTAACAAAATCTGGACTTTGCATTTGGGTCTTTTCCATGTTTCTTCATGGAAGGAAAATGATGACTTTAACAAGGCCCAACAAGAGGCTCCAGTGGCCATTACGTAAATTATCTGACTAAATGTTGATCTAGGCTCAGGGCAAAACCCAAGAAAAACTGAGGGGAGCAGCTTACTAGCCTTCAATGTGTCCTGCCAGCAAAAGCACTTCAGTGTATTCTCTTCAGAGAGTCTTACATAAAATCCACCCCCACACTACCCCTTTCTCCTCCAAAGCCAGGCTCAAGTTTAAAGGAAACTTAGGATTTTAAGCTGTCAGACAGCTCAATATTTCAAAGAAATAGACTGACTACAGTAAGTACTAAAGCTAAACCACAAGATTTCAGGCAAAGAAGTATTCCTTCCTAATCCCATGAATACATTTAAAACTGGCATTTTCAACCACATCCAATGGATCATTTGGGGTAGCATAACTAACTCAGAAGTTGTAATCCTTCACCTGAAATTCCCAGCTATTACCTAAGACCAAGAGACATTATAAAGGCCAGGTGCTGGCTTAAACATTTAAAGACCTAAGGAAAATCAATCTGCTTGCACTGATTTATCCTAGCATCCCCAGCAGCTCTGTTATAAGAAAGTTTTTGCTATACAGGATGCAATGAGATTTCTTACTACCAGCCTTTAGGTTTTTCAGGGCCTCGTTTATTTAAAAATTACTATAATTCACTCTCTAGTTCCAGAAGTTTCTTCCCATTAGGATATTAAATAGTTTAGGAGTCAGAACTAGAAAAAAACAAACAAAATGAAAGGATGCCAGCATCTGGCATGAGTGGCAATAATACTCTGAGTAAGATGAACATCTTTATAAAATTTAAGAAGCTAGTTTGCTTTTATTAGATTTCACTGTCAACAATATATTTTCCAAACTCTGAAACTGTGTTGTCATTACAGAGTTAACTGTTATTAATGGCAAATTAGGAAAATAATTATCCACAATTTTATCACTGCTAACGAACAGATAACAAAGTCCCATCACCCTGGACTGAGGGAAGGTGGAACAATTCTGTGCACACTTGACAAGATCTGTGAGCCAGGCTATGTCACTCTTTTCAGCTTGAGTATAAAGAGTTGAAACAAGATGCTAGACGTCTAGCTCAGCAGGTGTCATTAACTCTTCAAACAATATTCACAGAAGAATAAAGTATGTGGAGACGATATCTATGCCTAGAACTCTAAAGGAATGATGTGAATTATGCAGTGTAATGCGGAAGAGCATCTGAAAGTAATCTCCTACCACAGTTTAGGTTTCTCAAAGCGGCATAAATCCTATCTCAAACTGCTGAGTTCTCCTGTAGGGATCTAAATGAACCCTATATAACTTTTTAAAAATGTATCAGTAAGCACAGATCCATTTTTTATAATATACATTCACTAACATCAAAACAGCAAGTATTTAATCTTATAAAACTGTTGTTTTGTTTTTTCCATATAAAACTGTCCCCAAGTGGAGAAAGTTTCAATAGATTAAGTGGTATTTGTCCTATTCTATTTCTTAGGCTTTAAAAGGTACTTCAAAGGAGAAACACTGAAGCAAACTAAGCATCTTAATGAAAAGGCTGACACATCAAAATGAGCTAACAGGAAATAACTACTACAAACAAAAATTCCAAAGCTGGTTAGAAAAAACATTTTCTTAAGAAATAAATAAATAAATATATTGTACTTATAAACGTACAATAACAAGTTGTGCCAGAAAGATAAGAATTAAATTCTGGAAACTAGGGCAGGGCAAGGAATTTGCTCAATTTCTCTGGGATCCTAGAACTCAGAATTATCTTGTCATCATCTTCAATAATTAAAGAATTTTAAGGATTTAGTAATCTTCAAGTTAACCACTAATAAAATTTAGATACTAAAAATACTTGTTTTCGAAATCACTGTCAAATGTAAAAGAATTCAAATCATAATCAATAAAGAAATAGAGAGAAAATAAGGGAAACAGCAAAAAGCATGCATGTGACTAAGTACATTAATTATAACATCAATAGTATACCTGAAGCTATTTTTTAAAAAAGGCAAGGATGTCTAGTTTCTATTGGGCAAAATAAATAAATGAATAAACAAACAAGTAATTATTTGTTAGTTATAAAACACTCTTAACATTTTGAGAGAAAAAAAGACAAAATATTATAAATAAACAGCTAGACAAAGTCATATGTCAAAGACAGTCATGGTGATAAGAGGTACAATTTTTACCTTTTACACTTCTGCTCTTTATACTAAAGTATAACCCTTGATATCCCAATATATAAAGTAAAAAACATTTTAACTAATAAAGGAAATCAACAGGAGCTGGGAAACTTTAGCATTATATTTATCAGAGAGCAAAAAAAAAGTGAAACAATAGAAAAGGACACAGAGGC